TTCCAGAAAGAATAATAATTCTTGATGTCTGTATTTGTTGCATCATTTGTTGACGTTTAATTTAGTTTCATTTATTAAGTCATAGAAAGATGAACCTAGGATACCTCTGTTGTCTTCATTATCACAGATTTTTCTGATTGTTTTGGTTTAAGTAAGTTCTAAGTGAAAATTGACTCTGTCATTGTCCATCTCATTTCTGCAAGGATAAGAAAAGAGAATGTACTGGGAAACACTGGTGAAATTTGAGCCAGGACAGAAGTAAAGAATTGCCCATTATTGGGGAATAAAAGTTTATTTTTAGTAAAATTTTATTTCTAGGAAATATATTTAAGTAATTCCTTCCCCCGAAGTGTTTTAGTTTACTTAATGAAATCTCACACCAAATTCAGTGAGTCATGCAATCAAAGAGTGAAGGGCCTTCAACCACCTTGCATATAGCAGAACCTAAGTGTGATTTGTACCTAAATACTAACATGGATAACAAAAGCATGCTATGGAATTTTGTTTCCAAGAAACGAATAAAAACATTGGACTGATATCCAAGTTAGTGTAATTTAACAATGTTTAGGCTATCTGGAATGTATTTAAAATGTCTTTGTGAAGCTTACTAATTTTATATACCACTGTCACTTGCAAAAAATTTAAATAGAAAAGGTACTGTTTTGTACATTACATTACGTTAGATACAAACATTAGAACCATGACTATAAAGGTTCTATTTCCTCTTGGAGACTTGTAAGTCAAAGAAAGATTAATTTGAATATAAAAGACAAAGTTATGGCAGGTGAACTCTTCTGTAGTTCTTAGGGGAAGACTGCCACTATGAACTAGGTTTAAATAATATACATGAAGATTGTGTTCAGTCATTTCTGGTGAGCTTTATCATGCATATGTACGTAAAGAAATTACATTTATATATACATATGTATAGACACACACGCACACAGAAAGAGAGCACAGGAGAGCAGAGCGTGAAGATCATGTGACTTTCCTTCTTTGTGTTCATTTGGGCCCTGGAGGTATTTTACTTATAGTAGGTTCTAAATTACTGTCTAAATTACTATCCTTTGTATACAAAAGAATACTAATGATTTTAAAAGCTGCAACAATGGCACAATTCCCACACCTGAGAGGGAGAGTTGGCTTATCTCAACCACCAAAAGAAGCCACTGGGTTAGTGAATGGTCTTGGTGCCTTCCAACAGAATAAGCTCTGATTAAATCTTGGAAATAATGGCAGTAGCAGTGCCTAGACCAACAGATAGCGCTCCATATGAGGAATGTCTGAAATTACCTCAAGGGTGTTGTGTATCTGAGGGTCAATATCACCAAAACCCTAATTCCTATAAGAGCCTGTCTAGAGATGAGGGACTGAGATTTTGAAAAATGATGAAATTTACATGATTTAATAATTACTGATGTAGGAAATGTATCCAGGAGTTATATGAAGAAACAGACCTAGAGAAACAAAGCAGAGAGGATCTAGAGTTTATTAAATTGTATGTCAAGATTTCCTCCTTATTTTTGGAATTTATTGCTTATTCCTTCTCTCTTTCTCTCTTCCTCTCCCACTCCCTCACTCCCCTCTTCCTCTCTCTCTGTGGGTGTTGGGTCTTATTTTCGTTGGAGATTTTTATCACATAAATACCTCCATCTGAGTTCTTGCTCTCTGTGGTCTTGGGTGACCTCAAGCGAGTCACTTTACACCTGCTTTGTGTGTTTGACAATGAGGTTGTAAAGTTCACACGAGCTAATGCGTCATAAAAGTGTCTTGGAAACCAAGTTGTGTGTTACAAATGTACTTTGTATTAATGATTGTTCCTAGTATGTGTCTGCTTTACACGTGTCATCTAATTTCCCAATAACTTGCTAAGGTAGTTGCTGTTATCCCATTTTGCAGATGAGGAAACTGAGGCATGGAGTGATTATCAACCTGCCCAAAGTCACATGGTTAATGTGGTTGGTCTCTCCGAATCTGGCCCAGCTCTTATCCAATATACTGAAATGCCTGTTGAAGTATACTTAATAATAAAATGTTCCTTTTTCCCCTAAAGTTTACCATCAGTTTGCCCCAGTCTCATCTGCCATTTCCATATTTAGAAAATATGTAGAAAATTGTCTTCTCAGATGAAGAATATAATTTTCTTTAAAGTTTATTTACTTATTTATTTAGCGAACATTTATTAAGCACTTACTGTATACCGGGAATATACTTTGCCCTGGAAATGTAGAAATACAAGTGTTTAAAAAACATCCAAATTCAAACTGTCAGTAGATTGTTCTTGGATCATGTTCTCTAGTCTGTGTCTCTTGGATCTCAGAGACTGGACAGTGAGCTGTAATGGGAGGATTAATGACCTCTTAGAATGATCTTGGAATTGGCTATACCAGTCTTTGCGAGAGATGGAGTTGAGAGGATGAACGACTGTGCTTACGAAGTCTGGCGGCTTCTGGGGCCTCCCTGGAGAGAGAAATGCATGCCTTGCTTTGGGCAGCCCTTTCTCTTCTGGGTTCTGTCTAATCTCAATGCTTTTACTGTCTTGACTTTTTACCACCTACCCCCCCCATCTTTATTTATGTGAAAGACCAAAATCTTGCCCAGTTTCAGGGTTTTGTTGTTATTCAGCACAGTTGGTTTATTTATTTTTTTTTTTGAATGACACTTATATACCTGCTTCTGCTCAGTTCAAGATAAAAGGATTTGTAAATAATGACCTGACAGCACCTTTTGTTACCGAACCAAAGTGGGTTGGCCTCTTGGTGAGTTGAAATCAAAGCCTTCACCCAAAGTAGTTGTCACACAATATAAAATTTGTTTTCAGCAAATAAAGGAGACCATGGGAATCACTTTCAAAGCTGTGGCTCTCCAAGCAAGGAAAAGCAGGGGCCTTTTATTTTGAATGGGGAATGAATATTCAAAAGGGAAGTTTTGTCATCACATGCAGAGGTGGGTATAAGCTCACACAGGTTTGCTTTGAAAATATGCTTTTATACACATCGCATGTTATGCTAATAAGGCTTAAGCTCCTGCTGGGGCAGGGATCTTAACATTAAAATGAAGCAAAGGTAACTTTTGGTCACTTTTCTGCCCACCTGCACAGGCATCCTTCTTGCGGTGGGGTTTGGACTGATTCAGGGCAATTGGTGGTTGAATATTTTAACATAACTAAAAAACACTTTTGAGAAAGTTAAATGCTTTTGAAACCTCCTTTCAGTTACTCGGGGCAGTTAGTCAGTGACACTTTGAGCCTAAATCTTGTTATGGAATTTGATCAGTTGTTTAGCACTTTTTCCCCTTATTTCCTTTCTTAAGGCAGTTTTTCCCCAGTGTGTATTTTCTTCTTTTTAGCAGGCATTCTTTCCTACCTCTTTTTCTAGGTCACATTCACAGGTACCAGGGTTAGATCTTGGACATATTTTTTTTTAGGGATTACTATTCAATCCACTGAGCTTTCTAAACAGCGCACTTCTCTGGATCCCATTTTAACACCTGCAGATGAAATGAACCACTTCAGAGCTTTATGGTGTGAGTATTCGTGATGTGTTCCAGGACCATGGGAGAGCAAGGTGAGGCCACCAGCATCTTGCCAGGTTGATGGCCCAGCCTTCCAGTTCTTCTCTTTGCTTCCGTCTCACCCTTCCCTGATCCATCATCCACAGAATTGCAAGTGATTTTTCCGAAATGTAAATCGGATCGTAATTCTCTTACCTCTTTAGGGCTTACATGGCGCTTCAAATAAAGTCCTAACTCCTTTTATAACATTTTTAAAGGCTGTGGATAATGTCCTCACCATCCCCTCTCAGTACTCTGAGGCTTCACACATACCATTCTCTCTGCTCAGATTAGAACATTCCTTAACCCCTCTCTGGCTGTTCCCTCCGACTTTAGATCTTAGGACGTGTGCTTCTTTCTCTGTGACCCCTTCTGAGATCACCCAGCTCCTGAGTGTCTCCATAGCAGTGTTCCTCACTCTCAGTCACAGCATTTGCCACAGGGACTGTCATTACCCCTGAGCTTAGCTCTGTCCACTTCTGCACTGTACAGTCTGCAAGGGGAGGAGGCACCTGTCTGTCTTGTTCACACTGGTAGCTTCAGCTTGTAGCATAGTTGTCAATTCATGTTTATTGAATGAAAAAATAAATGTAAAACCAGGGTTCTGGTTAATGGCCCAGGTATTTCTAACTCCTATTTAAGAAAGTGTTGGGTAAAACTGGTTTAGCCTTTAACTTTTTTCTCAGAATGGTTGAGAACTGCGACAGACTTTGGAAATGCCTCACGTTCTTGGGGACCTACTGTTGACAGATCTTCTGGTCTCTGTTCATCAGATCTGTACCTTTGATGGATCTGAAACTGGTTTGGCTAGTTTAGGGACATCCTGGTGAAAATTGTCCTCATTTAGTAGGGCACTCAAAACAGTGTTCGCCCTCAAATATCAAAAGCCATCTGGAAAGTGACAAAATTTGAGTTGATTCTGAGAATAACACTGAAATAAAATATTTTATGTATTATACAATTTGTGAAAATCTTCTTAAACTTTGGCTAATTTTCTTCCCAGGGAATTGATACTCATACATTAAATTCTAGGGGGGAAATACGCTTCTGTTTTTCTGTATCAAATGACTTGAGAAAAGCTTGCTTTTGTCCTTCCTTTTTGTTAAGTTTTTGTTTTTGCTTTTTTTTGTGAGGAAGATTGGCCCTGAGTGAACATCTGTTGCCAATCTTCCTCTTTTTGCTTGAGGAAGATTGTCCCTGAGCTAACCTCTTCTATTTTGTGTGTGGGATGCTGCCACAGTATGGCTTGGTGAGTAATGTGTGGGTCTATGCCCAGGATCTGACCCTATGAACACCAGGCCACTGAAGCAGAGTATGTGAACTTAACCACTATGCCACTGGGCTGGCCACTAAGAATTTTTTTAAAGTTAAATACTCTATTTCTCTCTGTTTTTTTTTTACAGATATTTTTCATATGTTTATATTGATTAACCATTCTTCTTTTATAGTTATGCCCCTTGGTGTCCATCCTGCCAGCAGACTGATTCAGAATGGGAGACATTTGCAAAGAATGGTGACTTACTTCAGATCAGCGTGGGGAAGGTAGATGTCATTCAAGAACCAGGTACTGTGGATGTCGAACATTAAATGCAAAAGTTTGTTACTTTTTATTTTTAAAATTTTCAAGTGTATTTCAAGATCCTTTTTGAGGATAATGGGTACCCTTGAACTGACCATCTAGAATCAATAGATAACATTTTGGCATATTTGAGTCTGTTTACACATACATATATGTGTATATATATATATTTATATTTTTATATTATTATTTTTTGCTAAGTCTTTTGAAAATAAGTTGCAGACATCATGATATTTTTCCCTTCAATACTTCAGCATATTACAATTTCCCTAATTATTTCCCACATGACTTCTTACAGTTTTTTGACCCAGGATCTAATCAAGGTTCACCATTTTCATTTGGTTGATATGTTTTTAGTTGCCCTTTATCTAGAATAGTCCCCATTTTTTTCATGACATTGATATTCTGAAAAGAACTGACCAGGAATTTGCCCAAAAGAACTGACTAGGAATTTGCCCGGGTTTCCTTCTGGTGACATTTAGCTTATTCTTGTGTTTTCTGCATTTTCTATAAAGTTGAAGTTCAGTCTAGAGCTGTTATTTTGGGTTAGACATTTATGCAAGAGTACTTTGTAGATGATGCTGTGACTTTATATTGTATCCCATCAGAAGACATGTACTGTCACCATTAGTGATGTCGCGTTTGAGCACTTGGTTAAGGTAATGACACTAAGCATCTCAGTTACAAAGAAAAGACCCCACTTTGTAATCGGCAGGTAATCTGTGGGTGATACTTTGGGTTTTAAGATACTTGATGATCTTACCTGAGTTAAATGTTTCATTGTGGGTTCCAGAATGGTGAATTTCTAATTCTGTCATTCCATCTACATTTATTAGCTGTTAATGATGTAATTTTTCAAAAGGAAGAGGAAGGTAGCGGAGACTTGAATTCTGAAAAGGTACAATTAATTTCTATTTGCAGTTTAAAAATAACTGTGTGTATTACATATGAATCCAGAGAAGAAAAATTGGGCTTTTGTAGATTGAAATCTCTAATTTGACTATGTTCAAAGTTTATTCATTTTTTCCTATCTACATTTAATTTCTACCTGTTGCCTCCCTTTACAAGGGAAAAAAGAAGGTAGGTATGCAAGTGTAGCTATTGCCTTTCTGTACTTACTGAGAATTCAAAAAACACAAGGTAATGAATTACCAGTTGCTTGGACAACAAATTGGATGGTTGTGTGTTAAGATCAATGTGTTGAGAAACCCATGGAGAGAGATTTCTATTAAAAGCCATGAGTCCTTAAGACTCCATCTTTTGAGCATTTGAATCTGAGCCACTTCTGGCCATCTGCTATTTCAAGATGAACAGTTGTGGTTATTAGTTCGTGGTTTGGGCCATTATAATGAGTTATTCTGTTTGGAGGTCAAGTTATTAGAATTACATTTTTGCTGTAAACTTGTTTTCATCTTTTAGTAGTTTGAGTCCAGTGAAATCAGGTATAACCCTTGTTAATTAGTGGACACTAGACACATTTTATGATGAGTTTCTTAGAAATGCAGCTGGCCAATCACATTTCAGCCATTTTGTATACCTACTGTGAATTCACAGCATGATTTGAATTAAAAGAATTAAACAGTTGGCTTTGTGATGGATTCACAAATCTAAGTCTAACTGAAGATAATCTTTCCATCTAAAATGTAGACTTACAACTGTCTTTTCCACTATAAGTGGATTAAGTGCTTTTTTGATAATGAAGTAAGAGAGAAATTGATTATGATGAAATATTTAAAAAACAAATTCATCACTGACTCATAGTATTTATGTAAAACAAGCTATATATGTTTGAAATCTTTATCAAAGAAGAAGGAAAAATGTCTTTGGTGTGGTATTCTATAGAAATAGTGAGGAAACACTGTCCATAAAAGGAAAAATGATTGTTTTATGTAGTAGAATAATTTTTTAAAGTAGAAAGTCTAGAATTCTTTAAGTTATAAAAACTTAAAAACTGTAAATAAAACTTAGGAGACAAAATTCTACACGCATGATTGAGTGGCCTAGAGAATATTTCACTTCAGATTATACTATTTTATGTTTATATATTTTATGTTTATTATACTATTTTGTTTTTATAATTTTACTTTAAATTACAAACCTAGCTTTCAATTAATCTTTTAATAGAGTTTAGAAATAATGTGTTTATTCAAATATTTGAGTTCCTGCCCTGCACCAGGCCATGTTCTGGATCCTGGGATACAGAGGTGAATAAGGAAGACAAAGAGCTGGCTCCTCATTGAGCTTACATTCTGGTGAAGGAGATAAACAGTACCAAAAGTAAAAGAGCAAATAATGTCTAATGGTGGTAAAGGCTATGAAGAAAAGTAAGCAGGGTCAAAAATGTAGAAAATAATGGCAGCCACTATTTTAAAGAGGATGTACAGGGAAGGAGTGTTTGACCAGAGGTCTTGACAGATTGGGAGAGTGAATTTCACCAGCTTTGGGGGAGGAGCATTCCAGGCAGAGCAAACACCCTGGGCAGGTGGGAGTGTGCTTGGCTTATTTGAGGACCAATATGACAGCCAGTGGGGTACTTGAGATAAATGGGGCTGGAGATATAGCTAGGGACCAGACCATACACTTTTTGGCCATGGCAGGGAGTTTAGGTTTTATCTGAAGTATCGTAACAAGGAAGCTCCTGGAAGGTTTTGAGCAGAGGAGTGACATGACATGATTTATGTTTTAAAATAAGCCCTTTGGCTGCTATGGGAAACATGGACTATAGGGGGTCGGAAGTGGAGGCAGGAGGCGCAGTTCGGAGGTTACTGTAGTGGCCCATGAGTTGAGAAGAGGGAGTCTTGGACTAGTAGCAGCAATGGTAAGTGATTGGATTCGAGATACTACATTTGGCTACATTATCCAAAGGGATTTCCTGATAGATTAGTTGTAGCATTTGGTAGAAAGAGAGAAGATGAAGACTGAAGGAGGAGCAGGTTGGGACAGGGTGTAAGTCTGAGATGTTTAATAGAAATCCAAGTAGAGATGAGCTAGAGATTTACAACTGAGGGTGATCAGTGTAGTGGTATTTGAAATGAAGGAAAGAATTGAGATTATTTAGGGAGTGTGTGCTGGAGAACTGGTTTGAGGGTTGAGAACCAGGTCACTCTAACAATTAGAAGGAAAGAAATAGTTCCATCAGAGGAAAAGGAGAAGCCAGGGAGGTGGGAGGGAGATGGAGAAGTGGGGGCTCCTGGAAGCCAAATGAAGAGAGTCTCTTATGTGGTACTCGTTTACTGGCAAGCCTCTGGGGCAGCTTGTCCCTATTCCTGGGAGCTATTTGCGTATTTACTTCACTTTTACAAAATCTAATGTCCTGGATGGGCCGTGGGAAACCATTGAAATGATGATTTTTCTCTACAGTTTAGCACTTTACTGGATATTTCTGTCTACAGACTTTTATTTGGTTACAGATCTCCATCAGTACACTCTTTCATCAGAGCTGCCTTGCCACGAGAGTGCTAGCAAGGGATAATTTCATTTCTTTTCCCTCAAGTGAAATTTAAAAGGAAGGGAAAGTAAGAATTTTTGAAGTCTTCATGCATACCCTTTAATAATTCTTTTATAAATCTTATTCAAGAATTTTATCATTCTTACTCTTTAATAATTCTCACTCATAGTTCATATTCTATAATTCTTTCATTGGTATATAAAATAAGAGATGTTTTTAAGGTATTTTAAACAGAAATGAAGATTTGAGAATTAGAAACACTGGGGATTATAATAAGCTCATTGCATTTTTACAGCCGAGATGTAGACGTCCAGGAAAGGACAGGCCTTAGATGAGGGTACATTACACTGCCTCTTCAATCCTGCATAGTCCAGGTGATGTTGCAGTTGAGCTGAATTTGGGGAATTAAATTTAATGGGTAAGTACTTGAACCCTCTGTTCCGTGCAGATAAGCTTAGTTGTCAAGGACAGGAAAACAGCAGCTGTTCATAGAGCATGCATGAGTGGTGGCCATTTGACTAGATTAGAGGTAAGCGGGACCCCTGCGGTGGCCAAGAGTAAGCATTGTGTTTAAAACCACTAATTTATTACAGAAGCCAATTTAGTTTACTGTACTTCAGTTCCTGTTAATATTTTAATTTTGTAATTGTAAAAGTTAGTCTTTTGTATTCTGTTGACAACTTTATTTAATCTTGAAGGTATGGTTAGTTCTACTTTTTTCCATTGTTTTCCTTCTGCTGCTTTCTTTAGTGATATTAACTAACATTTAGTAAGCCTTTACTTCAGCCGGTAATTTAAGCACATACATACATTTTAGCTTCACAACAACCCTAGGAAGAACAAACTCTTTATCTCTATATTATTCAGAATACTGAGGCTTACAGAAGTTAAATAATATGCCCAAGGTAACACAGCTAATAAATAGTAGAACAGAAGCTAATAGCTATCCTTATTTTCTTAATATTGAACTTAATTTCTATTGTGTTTTTGCATATCAAAATATAATTCTATGCCATAATTTTTTCTCTAATATTTTAATTCTTTATGTTTTGCTATATGTCTTTAAGATAAGCTTGCTAATAAGAAATTAACTTTTTCCTGCATTCTGGATTAGTGCCCCTTTTATGTTGCAATGCAACCTTCTTTTTAAAGTGGAAATTAAATTACCCTTAAGGTAAAAAAAGCATGCAGAAATTTTGGAGACTTTGTGGTCAAACTTTATCCCTGTTATTTATTTATTTATTTAACCTTTAGGTTTATGAATGCACTTGTTTCTTCCACACTTTCTGAAGTTTGTTGCATGAACCATTATGCAAACCTTGAAATGAGCTGTTGCCGTGCTGTTATAAATCTTTAAGATCCTCACTTGTTTTTAAACCCTGAAGCCACAACCTCAGATGGTACTTCTCTATTCCAAGGTGGTCATGTTTTAACTTTTCGGGTAACGACATTCTCCCTTGACAGTTCATCACATCAGTATTAAAGGTTAAAAGACATTTTTGGAGCACTGACATGAGACCCAGGGCTGTCTGACGTCTTTCAGCCTCTCGCAAGTGACATTTATTTGAGATGAATTTCATGTGGTGTCGCATCTTCAAGCGCTTAGTAGTGTGTCATAATCTAAGGACCACTTTGGCTGTTCTTGATTTTGTTGTTATAGATTTTACTGAATACATCTTCAGTGACAGTATTTTATTCCAGACAACAAACTGAAGTCATATCTGAGTTAGATGCTATAACCTTATTATTAATATTCCACGAGTTGTCATTTGAAGAAAGATTGACAAAGAAGCGTAAAATGAAAGCAGTCTCGAGGTGCTACAATTTATTAATAGTGGTCTTTGTTTTAAATGAACCTTAGTCGATGGCCTTGTAAATTGGTGTACTGGTTATGGAAAACAAAACAGCAATTCGTATCAAGAGCCATAAAATACTTATGTGCTTTAATCTAACAATTTTGGGAATAAGTGTCCTGTTATACCTTCTAGCCTGAACCAGAAAGATGCAGAAAAATCCCAAAGACCATCTGCCACTGTGTTTCTTTTTTCTTATTTTCTCTGTACTCATTGATTTTCAAGGACACATTTATTTTTAAAGATATGTTATCCAAAATAATGTGCAATTTCCAAAGCACTTAAGACTAAATTAGTGTTTTTTACATCCTCTTATTTTATTCTAACTTTGAATCAGAGATTTACATATAGAAAAATAATAGCATTTATTTAGTATTTATTATATGTCAGACACTTTTCTATATGCTTTATAAATATAAAATCATTTAATACTGAAATACTACAAAATCGAAATTCTGCCCATTTATAATAAGAAAACTGAAGCCCAAATAGCTTAAATTAACTGTTCCGTGTTACAAACTAAGACGACGCAGAAGTGAGGTTTGACCCCAGGCAAGCTGGCCCTTGAATCTGGAAATATTGTTTTGCATATTGTATGATTTAGTGTGTTTTATGAAATATTTTTAATATTTATTTATTTGCTTTTTTACTTATTGCCATGGCCAGTGATGACCAAGAAGATATGAAAGACTTTAAAGAATAAGTTAAAAATACTGCCTTCCATGATACCTAACATTTATTAGAAATCCTATCTATTTATTCTAATAAAGATAAAATCAAAATAGAAGCTTGAAGAAGTAGTGGAATGTACTTGTTTGCTCATTGCCTTTTAAAAGTCAAGTAACGAAGCGTGATTTCCTAACACTGTAATTTTCCTTAGATAAAACTTTTTGGTGGTCATAAGACTCTAGCTAGGAAAGAAGTGAGATAAGAAACTTTGTAATATTTATTTTAAACAGAAGTATATGATAATTTTTAAGCATTTAGGATTGCCAACAGTTTGTCCTCTGGCAGTTGAGAGTTGGCAGTATACTGAAAGATACCTTTGTTCCCTCCTAGGATGGAGTTCCAAGCACTGTTAGAGCCAGAGATGCCCTGTAGACAGAGATGCTTATTACAGTCCTCAGTTGACTTCTCAGGTCACCAGGTCACCTCTGTTTTTGTGACTGCCAGTACAGCCTTTCTTTTCCTTTAATGTACAATAATAAACGTATGTAGTAAATGTTTCTTTGTGTAACGTTCACTTTTACTACCATCAGAGTACTGTGTTTTCTTTTAAGTGCCATAGGGATGTTTTAAAGTCTTCTTGATTTGATATGCGAAAAAATAGAGAATCCTTTGGGAGGACTCATCATCAATCAATAAATTATTATGCTGAATACAGATTTAATTTATAAAATGGGTCTAAGCAAATTTTCCATGTTTTTAAAAGTAAAGCTTCAGTATTTGAAATGGCAAGTGACCACAGAGATATAAAATTTGAGCTACTTTATTTGAATAGATATTTTATTTTGTCCAGATTGTTCTTAAGTGGGAAAGGCAGAAGTGAAGAGAAATGTTAAAATGGTGTCTGTCATTTTTCCATGCTGGCCAGGAGTATCCTTTAGCTTTCTTTCTCTTTGCCAGACCAGGGTTACTCACTCTTGATGTCCACTTAAGTATTTGTTTGTAAACATTTAAACAGCAGGGACCTGTTCTTCATTCCTAGTCTTATTCAGGTTTTTGTTGCATCCCCTTTCTTGAGATCATCTATCTCTGTTTATGCTATGATTGTGATTATTAAGTTCTTTCCCTCTGCCACCAGATTGCGAGTTGTGTGAGAACAGACTGTATGTGTTTTGCTTATCTGTGCCTATCACAGTCCCTGGATCAAAAATGGTGCTTAGTAAATATTTGCTGAGTGACTAAGGGTTTTATTTGTCTTTGTCTTCACATGTATCTAGCATAGCATTTGATATGGAGTTAGTGCTCAGTAAAGGTTTGCTAAGGCAAATTGGGCACATCTGTTTAATGTACATAGAGTACCTTGACAGTACTTGCAAATTTTATAAATGTGCAAAGATTATACATGATCTTCTTATTTCATATTCTTTATTGTTCTTTTTTTTTTGCTTTTTTACTGAGGAAGATTGGCCCTGAGCTAACATCTGTTGCCAATCTTCCTTTTTTTTTTTTCCCTCTTTCCACAAAGCCCCAGTACATAGTTGTATATCCTGGTTGTAAGTCATTCTGGTTCTTCTCTGTGGGATGCTGCCACAGCATGGCTTGATGAGCGGTGTGTAGGTCCGCAGCCAGCATCTGAACCAGCAAACCCAGGGTCACCGAAGTGGAGCGCATGAACTTAACCACTTGGCCACATGGGGCCAGCCCCTTTATTGTTTCTTTTAGGCTTATAACTGATATAATAATACCTGTAATTTATTGAGTTGTTGTTATGTGCTAAGCACTTAACACACTGATCTAATCTAACTTTAGAACAATTCAGTTAATAGTTTATTTTGTTATGTTCAGTTAATTGTAATAATTTAATACACCCATTTTATAGATGAGGTATAAAGGTTAAGTAATTTGTATAAGGTCACAAAGCTACTAAATGGAGAATTTAGTATTTAACCCGGCTTGCATGCCTCTCAAACTTATCCTTTCAGCCATCATACAATTCCAAGTGGCGCACAAGCCAGAAAACTCCAGGGTAACTCATCGTAGATAAGCAGGTTGTATGTCAGTGACTGGAAAGTGTTAGATAAATAAAAATGGTTAAAAAAAGTAAAATTTCTTTAAGTCAAAGAAAGAAATGGTAAATGCAGTTCAATACTTGTGATGATTTTGATAATGTGGTTATGAAAGCAAGCTCCAGGCTGCTTGTTCTTAGAACTTAAGTGAGGTGTTTGGGGCAGACCAAGTTTCACTTGTAACTTTTTTTGTTTTTGCTTCTTGTAGGTTTGAGTGGCCGCTTCTTTGTCACCACTCTCCCGGCGTTTTTCCAGTAAGTTTAAGTAACTTTTTGGTCTTGCGAAGATTAGAAATCAGTAGATAATGTACCAGGAATTCTCAGTTGTTTTCCAAAACCGTCACTCATTCAGGAGAAAGACTGCTCTGCACTGAATATGAGCTATTAGGAGAGAGCAATACCCAGCGTGCTGCAGAGAAGGGAACCTAATTTCAGGCAGTGAATAGGTGTGGAGGAGGGAGGTCAGAGAAGACTTTTCTGATGATAGAAAAGGTGGGATGATTCTTAATAGTTACATAGGAATTGGTGAAGCAGACAAGGTAGAAGAGGCCTTTCCAGAGAGAGGAGATATCATGGAAAAGCCCAGGAGAAAATGAGATCCCTTCTGAGAACAGTAACTAGTTCTATATGGCTGGCTCATGGGTGCAGGATCTAGAACTCAGAAGAAAAATCTAGACTTGAGATACGTAGTGGGCCTTCCTCAGCACTGAGATAGGTAACAGTTGAAATATATCTAGAGAACACATACCCAGTGGAAACAGAAGCAGGTCAAGGATAGAACCTGTGGTTGACCAACATTAGGACATCTGTGAAGAAATACAGGGAGCAAGAAACTGAGAAGGGATGGTCAGAGTAGTAGGGAGAAGTCCAGGGAGCTAATGTCATAAAAGGCAAGGGAAAGGAGGAAGGAAGGGGTGTTCAGTAGAGGACAGTGCCAATGACAGACCAAGGAAAAATGGCAGAAAAGTGCTCTGTTGATATGGCAGTGGGAGTCATGGAAGACTCTCCCACTTTGAGCACTTTCAATGGAGTCGTGGTAGCAGAAGCCCCAGTCATGTTGAGTAGTGAATGAATAATATGAGAGGAGAGGATGGCAAGTGCGGACTCTTCCCTTAGGGAGCTTGACTGGTGAGAGAGCGAGAGGGAGGGAAGCCTGAAGGGGCATGCGACACTAAGAGGTGTTTTGTTGACTTTGAGGGGAGGGATTGAATAACATAAACTTGGAAATGTGGATACAATTTTTTAAAACTTGGTAACAATTACTGCTTTGCTGTCATAAGAAAACTCAAAATAATTGGTAGCAAAAATAATGAAAAGTAACTTGGCAGATTAAACACTGCCAAGAACTTCGTTTATAGTTACAAATTGTGCAGTGATAAAATAGAATGTTGAATGCTTTCTGTTTTGGAATTTCTCATTTGTAAAAGATTAATATTTATGCTTACTTACTGCTTTATGCCTAATTATATCGTTTTTCTTCATTTGAGCCAAATTAAAATTCAAAGTGGAGTTCCCATGTAAAACCAATAGTTATTTTGATTTTTTTTATCTGTAACACTTGTTTGTAATCAGTTTATTTTGATAATTTTAGTGCAAAGGATGGAATATTCCGCCGTTATCGTGGCCCAGGAATCTACGAAGACCTGCAGAATTATATCTTAGAGAAGAAATGGCAATCAGTTGAGCCTCTGACTGGCTGGAAGTCCCCCGCTTCTCTAACGTAACTTGATATTTTTTTAATGACAAAGTGTTCTTAAAAAAAGAACAGGAGGTATCAAGTTAACAGCCCATGGACGTTGAAAGCCTACATTTTTCTTCCTATTCACTTCTAATTATGCAGACTACACATGACCGTGTTTGGCCAATGTGGTATTGCTGGTTTATGACCCCATATGTTTTAGCTACTTGTTAGTATGCTGAGAGTTAAGTAGTAATTTGGTGGGTTACAGAAAGTCTCTCCTCTAGCGTTTGCGCTAAGCCACGCTGTTTTCTGTTTACAAAATATGTTATTAAACATCATCTACCATTATTCCTTCCTTTTAAATTATTGATAAGATAGAGGAGTAACTCTTTCTTGAATTATAGTTCATGAAAGAATTGCTCTTGTATCTTGTGTGGAAAATAAAACTGATGATGTCTGGCTGCCTAGCAGAATACTCCTGGGAGTAACTTTTGGCCATGATAACAAACTGTATAATACTTGGTGAGGTAGATAAGGCCAAATGATAATAAGTTTTTCCACAGTTGGTTTTAGTTTTGAATGAGTTGTCCTATTTGTAATTTTATGTTAGAATATGTAAGTGTAAAAAATGTCCTGCTGAAATAGGAGCAAATCATGCAATACGTCAGAAATCAGTCATCTAGTGGTATCTATATAATACCCAGGAAATACATAGCTTACTTTAAAAGCAGCTCACCTCTGGCATTTTATTCTACAAATATTTGAGCACTGCTTTCATGCCAGATGCTGTTCTAAGTGCTAGATATTCAATAGTGAACCAGACAGACATGGTCCCTCTTCTTCTCAAGTAACTTCAAGTAAGACAGATTAAGAAAAAAACTAGGAATACAGAGAATCATAGTCTGGATAAGGCCTATTTAAAAAAAATTAGAAACACACCTTGGGGCCAGCCTGGTGGCATAGTGGTTAAGTTCAAGTGCTCCACTTCTGCGGCCTTGTGTTCATGGGTTGGGATCCTGGGCACAGACCTACACACTGCTCATCAAGCCATGCTGTAGTGGCGTCCCACATACAAGACAGAGAAAGATTGGCACAGATGTTAGCTCAGTAACAGTCTTACTCAAGCAAAAAGAGGAAGATTGGCAACAGATGTTAGCTCAGGGCCAATCTTCCTTCACCAAAAGCAAACAGACAAACACACCTTTACTGAGACAAGGAATAACTGGAGGGGCATGGACCTACATTAGATGGAGGCTCTAGGAGACGTGGCTCTGGGGAGAGGATTGTGTGTGAGATATGAAGGATAGAAGGATCTAGCCAGGTAAAAAGCAGGGGAAGAATATTCCCGGGAATGGGTGTATAGCATGAACATAGGCCCCAATTTGGAAAGAGCTTGGTGTGCTGAGGAGCAGAAAGGTGGCCAGGGTCGAGGACAATGAAGGGGAGGGAGAGTCATGTGAGCCGAGTAAGAGAGGCAGGCTGGAGCCAGATCACACAGGGCCTGTGGCCACAGTGGGGAACTTGGAGGTTATCAGTACATGCAATGAGTAGGTGGCTCTTAGGAGAAGAAATTGGAGAGAGCGAGAACGGCTGAGGTGAGACAGTTAGACAGCTGTTGTCATGTGTAGCCTAGGGATGATGGTAGTGCATATCAGGGTGGCAGCAGTGGGCATGGAGAGAATGGGTCGATTTGAAATATGTTTGAAGGTAGACTTGGCTAAGGTGAAGGAGAGGGAAAATTCGCAAATAATAGCTTCTAGGTTTCTGGTTTGAGTACTTGGTGGATCCTCGTGGTTTGAATACTTACTGATTTGTTATTGTTGGTGCCTCAGTTTACTCACCTGTAAAACTAGGATAAAATCAGTCCCACTAGCATGGAGAGTTTTTTGTGATTATTAAACAAGTTAATTTATGTGAAAGAGCTCAGAACAGTGCCTGGCACGTGGTGAAACCTCATGTTACTTTATATTAACTATTACATATTGTTGCTGCCATTGAGTCGATTCCAACTCCTAGTGACTCCGTATACAGTGGAGGGAACCTTGCCTGGTCTTTTTGCACCTTCCCCTCATCTATATCAGACATGCTATGTCAGACAATGTTCTGCTGCTATTCACAGGGTTATCATGGCCATATTTTTCGGAAGTGGGTGGCCAGGTCCTTCTTCCTAGTCTGTCTTACTCTGGAAACTCCGCTGAAACCTGTCCACCATGCTTGATCCTGCTGGTATTTGAAATACTAGTGCCGGAGCTTTCAGCATCAAAGTAACACGCAGCTGCCACAGTATGAGAACTGACATATGGGAGGTGTGGTTCCCTGCCTGAGAAACGAATGTGGGCTACGGCAGTAAGAGCGCTGAATCTTAACCACCAGACTACCTACTGATTTGAGCAAGAGAAGATCGAGGGTTCAGTACTGGGCATGTTAAGTTTGAGATGGAAACTTCTTTGTAGAGCAGTCAAGTTGGATACATGGAGATGGGTCTCCGTGGAGAACACAAATACAAAGCATACAGATGGCATTTAAAGCCTTGGAAGACAGGGGGTCACCTAGAGAAAAGGAAAAAGAGAAAAGTGCTTGGGACCGAGCCACGAGACACTCCCAAATCAAGAAGTTTTGGAGAAGGAGTCAGCAAAAGGAAACTGAAAATGAGTACTAGTGAGGCAGCAGGACAAATATGAGTGCACAGTTTCCTAGAAGCCAAGTAAAGGGTGCTCAAGAAGGAAGGAGTACTTGTTGAGTCCCATGTTACCAAGGGGAAGGAAGATCAAGTCTGAGACACGGACGTTGAATAAAGCCACGTGAGGTCACTGTGGCCCTGACAAATGGTGATAGTGCAGTAGTGAGAACAGCAGCCAGATTTTAATGGGTTAAAGATATGGTGAGGAAGAAGAAACAACAATGTAGACTACTCTTCGGAGAGGTTTGTCTGTGAAGCTGGAGGGCTGTGTGAGATCTAGGGATGCTGGAAGATGAGGGAGGGTAGCACGTGTTTTCATGCTGATGAAAATGATCCAGCAGAGGGAGAAAGTGCTAACGCAGGAAGAGGGGATGATGGAAAGAACCAAGTCATTAATAAGACAAAAGGAATGGGAGGAAGTTTTGGACTGTGGTAGGGCAGATAGACTTTCTCTGTTCTAACAGGAGAAGAGAAAATGTGGATACAGATGTGTACAGGCTCAGATTTGGTGGTAGAAAGGTAAGAGAGATCACATAATGTTTTCTGATTTTGCAGTGACAAAGGAGTGTTTGTTAGCTGAGAGTGCATGGGGAGGAGAGGGTGTGTAAGATTTGAAGAGAAAGAAAAGTACATGAGCTCTCATCTCAGGTAGAGCCAAAAAATGCCAATGGTTCTGGGCAGTATTGACTGCGCCCTGAAGTTTGTGACGATGAAGGGAGAACAGTCAGCTGGCCATATGATTTTTCTTCCCCAGAGACATTCAGCTGCTAGGGCTGGGGATTTTGCCATGTGTGTACAGTGGAGGGAGAAAGGGCCAGGGGGTTAGAGTGCAGTTACAGCAGAGTGATTAAAATGTTGGCCATGAGGTCTAAACTATAAGAATGGAATTGAATCATGGAGAGAGGACAATGTACTGCCAGAAGCGAAGGGGCAGTCCTTGTGACTTCGGTTTTGTTTTGTTTTTTCATAATATGCATCACTGTGGTTTTCCTTCTCTTTGTTTTTTTTTTTAGGATGTCTGGAATGGCTGGTCTCTTTAGCATCTCTGGCAAGATATGGGTGAGTAATCTTAAATATACCCTTTGTGAATCTTGGCAGAGGGGTTTTTTAAGAGTAAGAATTTAGCTTCTAAATAATAGGAAAATAAATGCTTATATATACTTCTGTAATTTCACTTTTCTTCTTAAGCCACACAGCTGCACTCAACGTGGGGTCCCAGTGGAAATATGTCTTTGTGTAGAAGGGCATAAATTGAATAAGGACTCGTAACTATTGTGTTAAAGTCATATTTTCTTAGGTCAATGACAATCCCTTTAACAAAGCTGAGAGGGCTTATGTGGTTTTACTTCATCTTATTTTCCCATCTTCATAAGCTGCCTACAGATCAGAAATCCCTGAAAGTGATTCTATATGTCAGGGATCAGCAAACTACAGCTTGTAGGCTGGCCACCTGTTTTGATAAAGTTTTATTGGAGCACAGCCATGTTCATTCATTACCTATTTTCTGTGACTGCTTTTACACTACAGTGGTGCAGTTGAGGAGTTGTGACAGAGACCGTTTGGCTCACAAGCCTGAAATATTTGCTCTGTGGCCCCAAAGTTTGCATGCCCCTGCTGTATGGAATTATATCATGTCACTGAATCATTTCAGTGAGTTAGAACTGTTATTTAGGTTAAAATGTGGAACTATTATATTATCTTGAATGTGTCACATAACCTTTTGCTCCCTTTTATGTGTACAGTGGGCTAACTCGTACCAGATTCAACAAAATTGCTGTGGAATTAAATACGTATCCTTAAAGTATTTTGAAAAATCTTTAGAAGTGAATCCCTCCATATCTCTTTTCTAAGCTAGGATTGTAGGTGATAGTGTTGTATTTGGAACTTAAGACTGAAGGAGCCTCATGAAGACTTTTTCTGTTTCTCATGCACATTGATATGTTGAGGGAAATTTAAGAACAACTTTTTGTGTCCCATTTTCTCAGTTGTATTGTATTTTTTGCCTTGTGAGATAGAATACTTACTTCAGGGTTTTTTTTTTTTTTTTTTTTTACAACAGAAGCTAAATTGCTGACGTAATTCAGTCTTTTTTTGGTTAAAATTTGTTAACTGTCTTTTTTTGGCATTTGTGTATTATATTAAACAATAAATAACATTTGGTCTTTCTCCAGATAGTTTGAGTTTGATATGGTTTCCTTCTGCTGTTTTCTTAATGTTGGTGAGAGGTTTATTCAAGGGCTGAGAATTATGAATTGCAAACTGGCAATTGAGAGTAAGAGATTCTGCCTTTTGCAGTATGTTGACACTAACGGTTGACAGAGTCATATATTCTGATAGCCATCTGAGAGCCTTGTATTTAGCCTTGTAATGTCTAATCCAAAAGGGTGATTGTAATAGATGGATGTTGGAAATCCTCGAGATCAAGATCTTAGCACAGAACCTAGAAGTGCAGGTCAAGAAGTGAACTTGCTTTGTGAGTTAAGAAGAGCTTAGATGGAAGTGGATCATGGCCTTCACACATTGTTAAAGAGTAGTTTTGCTTTCAAAGACAGTATCAGGGAAGATAAGGAGTTGTTCTGACTTCACAGAGCTTGGCATTGAGGGCTTAGATAAACAAGAGTTTAGATAAGGAATCAGTTTTTCATTATATCATGTGAATGATTACAATATGTGGCATTTGGAGCACATCAAGGCCAGGAGTGGATGTTTTATCTTTGTACACACAGTACCTAGCCTTGGACAGCACGAATGGATGCATTGGACTGCAGAGAAAGGGCCATTTGGAGAATAGAATATCATTCATCTCTGAATAACCAATTAAGATATTCTTCTTAGTGACTGAGAAGTAAAGTATATATGATATTTGTATATATGTATATTTAGAATATCTTTCCAGATATGAAAAAAGAGAACAAAAAAGATTATTTTATAAGCTAAACTGTAGAATTTGACAATTACATTTTACATTATGTAAAGACATTTTTATTAAATATTAATACCATATTTTTTTCTTTTTGGTGAGCATTTTCCTGGAAATTAATTTTTTTTCACTTTCAAACTTTCTGTTGTAGTTATGTTTTAAGTGAGTCTTGTAAAAAGCAGGTAGCAAGAAGCAATTCTTTTAGCTGATAAATTTAATCCATTTATATTTAACAGGATCACTAGTATATTTGCCCTGAATGTATATTGTGTGTATGTGGAGAGGTCATGTGGGAGGGGAGTGTACGTGACCAAAAGAATATAAATGGTAGGTTTGTAGATTATTTTTATCTCCTCGTATGTGAACATATTACCTTAAAAATCTGTAACAGAAATATAGTATTACCCTCTGTATCAACATCTAGCTTCCCCAAGCCTCTTGACAACTTTTGTAGTTTCTTTTATTCTTAGAAACAAATCTTTAGCCTTTTGTCAAATCTCTGGGAAGGGCTCTCACCACCTGTGTATCTAGAATCCAACCCTTATCCTCTTGTTCACAGAGGGTATGATCTCTGGCCTGGTGAGATCCAATCCTTGGTACCCATCAGGTCTCTGGTTCCCACTTCAACCTCTGGGTACAGTCTTGCCTTGTTGCTCTTACCGAATCACTTACTGAGCCAGTCGTCTGGGTCCACTCACTTAGCTTGTTTAGCTCATTCTTCTCCCTTGCTCAAGATCCTCACATCAATGTTGAATGTATAATTGTGGGGAACATAACCTGTTTTTAACTCATGTCTAGATAATATAAAACTGTAGTGCAACCATATTAACCATGAACAGAAGAAACAGCACATAGTGAGAGAGAGAGCATGGCTAGAACTAAAAGAGTGTAGTCTTCAAGAAAGAAGATAAAAACAGAGAAGAAAGACAGACGTAGAGGGCCTAACACCAGTGAGGCAAGATTGTTGATGCCTATCACAGTCTCTTTTATCCTACTGAGTTTTTGTGGATACATAGACAGATAGGAGTCAGTCTTTCCTCAGCAAGAGTCTCCCCTGGATGGGTGGCTAGTTAAATGTAACTACTTCCATAGGGAAAAATGCATATTGTTAAGTGGGGGGAAAGACAACAGTTGGTATAGTGTTATGTTCATATGAAGTTTTGTGTATATTTGGGAAATGCCTAGAGAGATTAATCAAATGTCAACAGTGGTTATCTCTGATATTGAAATTGTGGCTTATTTTAAAAAAATCTCTTTTTCTGTATTTTTAATTTTTCTCTAATGAAAACGAGAAAACACAAATAAGAGCAATATCTGGGGAAGATCGGAGCCTACTGAACTAGTGATTCCTTAAAGGCCTTGAGTTTCTACTTTAGGAGTGAACTGGCATTCTGGAGATAAAAGCTGGGCCTCAGGATGCTGGGGTCGCCTGGTGATGGCACCCACACAGCTGAGTTCCAGTGAACTCTGGGGTTTTTTTGGGTCTGCTTTTGGCTTTCTTAGCTCTGCATTAACTTTCTATATGTTCTTGCTTGAATAAACCATTGAGGTGAGGAAGCCCCTTGAGTAGTCTTAAAAGCCAGATCCTGTAAGCTTCCTGCTTTCTGTCACCTGGAATCCTAGGAATCCTTGATAAGTAATTTGGACCACAATGTGGAGCAAGAATAGATAATCTAGAGTGTTCTTTCCATAACCAAAATTCCCGTTGTTTTTCCAGCCTAATCACAATGGAGTCCACTTGTGTATTTTAATTTTTATATAAACTCCTAGAAGTCATTGCCACTTTAGCTCTAATACCTATCTTCAAGTATAGTTTTGACATTCTGCCCACTTATAGGAGTCACTGAAGCCTGCAAGATGTACAATAACAAGAGAAGTTTCTCAAAGAGTAGACATCTTTTAGATGCAGAATTCATACTGCTTTTCTATTTATGGTAGCAAATTAAAATTTCTTTAAAATCGTGTTCAACTTTAAAAAAAAGTGACTCAGCTTACTGAAAAATGTGGATAATGTACAGGATAGTAGAAGGTGAGGCTAATGCTGTGAAAGTGACGTGCAGAAGGTGGAACTGGGACACGCCGCAGTCAGGGCTGGGAAACCTGGGCTGGAGAGTTCTGTCTGTGGCACATGTTTGGAGAGGCTTTTCCATCTTTCTGTCTTTTCTTCTCTTTTCACAGTTGGCTACAGTGACACAGGGAGGCATGGTCTTCTCTCTTCCAGGGAGACAGGCCATTGTTCTCCACCTCGTGTGCGTGTTTCTGGACCCGTTTGTTTTTTCTGTTGTTACTGGAACATTTTGAATGCTTAGCATAGAACCTGGCACCTAGTACATACTTGATAACTGTTTTTTGTTAGTTATATTCACTAATCATTGTTGTCATCATTATTTTACTGTTCCCCTCTGATTAGGCAACAAGGAATACTTTATCTCTTTATTCACTTATTTTTTAACCAAGGCTGATAGCAGGATTAAAATAGCTTTCTGTGGCAGTTGTACAATGTGTACTTTTGCTAACTGAGTTTAACATTTGAATGTGTTTAAACATTATTTGATTTGGTGGATTTGTGCTGCTCACTGAGCTGATATAGGATGTAATTTACCTCTCCTCACTGTTACTGTTCTTATGAAAGCATGCAGGCATACAGCAAATTTCAGCTACAGTAATGTGTGCTACAGTCTTGGGAAGACAATCTGTGATGGAGAAGATTTAATGCTTTGTAACTATCTTGTGATGAGAATTAAAGGCCGTGAGTGTTTAGACTGGAGAATAATGAGTGTATTTTAAAACTCCAGAACATCCTCCTGTGTTTTAGATAGTGCATCTGTTTTTGGTTTTTTTCCTTGTAAGAATATCTAGAACAATATTACAGTGAGATGGTACACATCCGTAAGACACCTCTCATAGAGCGTACAAGAGGCTACAAGTTGTGTCCTGTTGCAAATATCCAGAAGATGAAACATGGAAGGAGAAGCGAACCCTTGGCCATCCCTGGAGAAGTCTTTTTGAGCTGCTGCCACGCAGGGAAGATATTTTGAGGATTCTAATCTGTGTCTGAAAGGATTTAGGGCTTGTCCCAGAACTCCTAGAGTATGTCCTGTGACATAAGTGGGATCTAAATCCAAAAAGCTCTCTGTCCTTTGGGATTAGCCCAGCTCTGAATGAGACTGTGCAACACTGGGCTGGATGGGTGGGTGCTCTCGGGCAGCATCTAATCTGACCTGCAGTTGTTCAGGTCCCAGAGGGACTGCTGTCGTCCCTGGCGTTGGGGGGAAGGCTCTGCTTCTGATGCATAGATGCCTTGGCCTGGCTCCATTCCTTAAATCCATCTGACCACTGGTTGGGATATTCTTCTCGTTTATTCTACTGTGATGATGTCTTTACTCAAATCTGTATGTAGCCAAAGTTAGCTATAACTCAACCATCTATTACAGTAGTGTAATAGTATAAACTATCAGGCCCATTAAGCAATATCTTTGTGCATTTTAAGAAAACAGAGTAAGATCATTCCTTGTAATGGGCACATCTATTATTGAACAAGGGTCAGTATTTTCCACAAGTGAAAACTGTCACTTTGCCTGGCAATTAACAGAAACACAGAAATCTAAAACTGAGTTAGAACAGTTTTAATCAGTTATTACTTGGAAACATATATGCAGCAAAACATCAAGTACCTGGTACCGTGAAGCCTAACACTCTTAAGAGGCTCTGAAATCATTGTGGACTCAGACAGAGCAAAGAGAGAAAGATTGATGTCTGCACTTGAGGAAACACAACTTTATTAATGAGGCGTTAGTAACAGTCACCTAGAAGACCACAAGATAGCAGGGCATCTCTAAGAAGCACAAATAAATCCTTTAAAGAGGAAGTTGATACAAGAAAATCCAAGTGGAGCTTATTAAAATAAGAGAGTGTTTTGAATGTGCTAAGAAGTGTGTAACTCAGAATGTAATGATACAAAGGCAAATAATTTACTACATTCTAGAAAATATCTTAGTTTCTTGAGGGTTACAGTAATCATTTATTTTGCAAAAAGGGCATAAGACACTGTCCAGAAGGACTTACAACTGCACATTATTCATTCTAACCCTATAAGTAAGGCAAATGGGCAGATATTATTTATAGAGCAAGTTTCAGAATACATCCATCCATGAGTCAGCACAAATGCAGACTGGCTTTCCATATCTGCTAATTCTTCAGTACATTTCAGAATTGAATCCTAATGATGGCACTGAGTCATCAAGAAGAACATAAGCTATGTTCAATACATAGAATTTTCTAAAGTAGGGACCTGTACAATACATTTTAGAACTTCTATTGAAGAGTTTGAGTGAAACAACATTTTGATATCTCAAATACCTGTTTTGCCTGCTGAGTTGCAGAATTCTGGATTATTCTTATTAAACAGTTTTCCTGGCTGAAGACAGAAGGATGACCAATGCCATCAGTACAGGACAGATGATAGTTTTACAAATCAAGAGTTGTTTGCATTTCCTGTGAATAGTTTAAGGATTTCCTAATATCTTTTTCTTATTCAACAAATGTTTATTATTAACACTTTACGTGTGCCAGTGTTGAAAATACTTGCTGAGTCTATATCTTTTGCTTCTGCTGAATAAGAAATTGAAGAGAGGAGATCTCAGGTTATTCTAGATCAGCTAACAAGTTTGTTTGTTTGTTTATCATTCAAAATTAAGTGAGAATGAAATGTGTCATTTAATTGTATTGACATTTATAAACCGAGAAACCAATGGGAGATACTTGAGCAATTTAGATTTTGAGAAATATTAAATTAAAATAGAAGCTTGGACTCATTTTCAGTCACCTCATCAGTTCTGGGCAAGTCATTCAGTCATTATCTCTGCCTGCTGATGACATTTAGTTTACAGCCATTTCATCATGTGCCCAGTAATTGCTCGTATTATGGTGAATGACTGTTTTTGAAGCTTGAAGGGCCTAAAGCAGATGACTACTAAGCCATCATGAGGAAGTGTGGCTCCTTCAAGTTCACATCTAAGTGGGCTTTGACTCCAAACTAGTAGGTTCATATCTGTAATTCCATATGATTTAGCGTGTAAATAATTTCTAGCTAAGACCCTATCTCTTCACTCATTTTTTAGTGTTTGGTATTAAATAGAGTCCCAGAGAACAGTAAGCATGAAAGGATGTGCACTCTACTCAAAGACTGATGAAATATCATAATGAATTATTCATAATGAATCAACTGGAAGAATTTTCTCCTGCCTAATATTATATTTTAGGTTTAATTGTCATTTAAGACAGTTGTTAAGAATGGGGTTAGAGGTAGAGCAACAAGAGTCTGATTAGAAAAAGAGTATAGAGACATTTTAAATGGTTGATTTTCTGTAAGTAGTAATTTAGTTCTTAAAAATTGATAATGATTCAAGAAGTTTAATTTTTTATGGATGCCATGTTATGAGTAAAAAGTGAAGTATATATAATTATTAGACAAGAGTGACCAAAAAGATCTATCATGGAAGAAGGGACTAGAAGAACAATTCTACCAGAGTTCTACCAGATCATAAACTTTAAGGAAGTGTAACAATTCTTACTAGAAATGACCTTGATTATTACTGTCAGATTCTCAATTCTCAAGGTTGTAAAATTTGACTTGTTCTTGAAGAATCATGTAGATGCATAAACCTCTGGATGAACTTTGTGGGAGCTCATGTACAAACAATTTGCAGACTTGAGTTATAGCTAGAGAGGGAGATTCAAACATTTTTGATCCTCATTATAAGTAAATATTTTATGTTTTTTCTTCTGATTACAGCATCTTCACAACTATTTCACAGTGACCCTTGGAATTCCTGCTTGGTGTTCTTACGTCTTTTTCGTCCTAGCCACCTTGATTTTTGGCCTTCTCATGGGTCTGGTAAGAGATAATGCCAATCTCTTTTTCCTGTCTTTGAAGTCGAGTAGTTTTTGTGCAAAACTAGAAAGCATTCAAGAAAGAAAAAAGCACGTAAACAAATATCATTTTGTGTGTAATCTAAGCAGTTAAATTGTATTTGCTTATTTGATACTGCTTTAAAAAGCACATAAACAAATATCATTTTGTGTGTAATCTAAGCAGTCAAATTGTATTTGCTTGTTTGATACTGCTTTCAATGATAACTTGAGATATAATGGAAAATTCATTAAATTATTATCTCCTAATCCTATCCTTCAAATATTCTCCCCCAAATATAGGCAGTGATGAAAGAAGAAATAGAGACTTACTTGAATTGGTAGTCAGTTTCCAAGACAACCGAGTCAGCTGTGATTTCACACATTGCCTACTTGATTAGAACACTGTGGTGATAAGGCCAAAGCTGTGAATTTGTTCCCTGGGTAAACAAGATGATTTTTTCTTGTTCACATACTCAAATTGAACGTCTAATCCTGAACATCTGCTTATGTATACACTCTGGTTTTCCCAAGATGGATTTTTTATGATAATGTGGATGAAAACACAGTCATTATGGAAAAAAATAAGATGCAAAGCACATCACTATATCTTCGTTTGGTATGAAAATCATTATCCAGTAGGTATCTGTACATTTTCTCCGTAGGTGTTTTAGGTAAGTTGGAATAACAAATTTATTTACTTAACTGTATAGGCAACTATAAATGTTTTGGCCTGTCTCTTTAATATAGTATTTTAATCTTTGTTTTTACCTACACTTGATCAATTTGATTGAGCTTTAAACTGTAATTAAGATAAGAAGTTCTTACATCATTACACTCTATATTAATCACATAGTTCTTGAATGCTCTATAGTAGGAATAACTGATGATGACTAAAAATCTGTATAGAAAGGGCAGTCTTTTAGGTAGGATTATCTTAAAGTCTGTCCTTATATTTTATAATGAATTTTGGCTCTTTAGAAGGGTCTTTTTAAAAATAAAATTAAAATGTGAGCAGTTGCCTTTATAGCAAGTCCTACCCTGAGACAATAAAGTCATATTCCAAGGAGCCCAGGAAGCTTGATTTAATTTGCCATGAATATGCTCACTTCATATTATGGTTTATATCTGAGATTTGACTGCTGATGTTAATTTCAAGGGTGGGGATAAAACTTAGATGTGTCCTTCATTAGGTCTTGGATATATTCCATTCTGTTGCATTAATCTTATTGCTGCTAATTAACATGTCCCTAATGCTAGGCCTAAAAGGATTTGACTTTAGACATAAATTTGACGTTGGCTATAAATGTACTTCTCCCCTCTACTGTCCAGTGCTAGGTTTTTCTAACAGTGCATTCTAGAGCCACATGAGCGTGACGCTCTTGGAGGAGGAACAGTGAGATCCTGGGCGATTCTGAGGCGGAGTTATGGAGACTGCAGGTTGAGTATCAGCCTAGTGGAGGACCACTAAAAACTCTTCTCAGCATGAAGAGTTGTGGAATTTTATCTTTGAGGTTGACTATACGTCCAAGAAATTGAGTCAGGCCTCCCTCTGCCCTGGGTTCCTTTGGAAACTTAGATTCAAATAATCAGTGTAGGAAGGTTATTAGAGGCTTGCCCTGAAGAAAGAACGGAGTTGATTCTAGACTGTTCAAGTTGTTCAGTGATGTAGAATATTGTTTCTTTATAAGAAGTTGGGAGGAAAAATTTATTTAACAAAATAACAGTAATTTCAAAGCAGTAATAGACTCATAAATTTTCTGTTAATAAATTTCCATAAAATAGCAAACACTTGTCTCTGCTCAAAATGCCTTTTCTACAGCTGTAGCCTGTGTTAAAAGAAACAGCTAGAATTTTTGCCTTCAGTGAGGTCTCCAGGTGTGCAGTTCAGTGCTCTCTGTCACCTTGGCTGTTAACTGGGGGCTGAAAGCAGAATGCAGTCGTGCAGTCATGCACTCGTGTGAAGCTTGGTCCTGGGGACCCTGGGGGTTCTCCTTCCTCTGAGTCTTAATAGAGCTGAACATAAATGCAGTGGCCAGGAGCGGCGGGATGTTTTCCATAGAGAAGTGATTTCCTGATCAAGTCATTGTTTCCCATAAGCCTGACTACTATGTTTCCTCTTTTTTTCTAGTTTTAAAAGATGGGAAGTCGAAACAAGGCTGCTAGTTTGACTTTTGTTTGTTTTCTTGATTGAGCCTAGTGATGGTTGAAATATTTTACTAAATGTTATTTTTCACATGTAAACAAAGGGCTCACTTGTAGAAATCAAGTATATATTTTGCATTTAATTTATTTATTTAAAGATTGGCACCTGAGCTAACAGCTGTTGCCAATCTTTTAGTTTTTTTTCCTGCTTTTTCGCCCCGAATTCCCCCAGTACATAGTTACGTATTTTAGTTGTGGGTCCTTCTAGTTGTGGCATGTGGGACGCCACCTCAATGTGACCTGATGAGCAGTGCCACGTCTGTACCCAGGATCCGAACCAGCGAAACCCCGGGCCACCGAAGGGGAACGTGCGACCTTAACCACTCAGCCACAGGGCCGGCCCCTATATTTTGCATTTTAAACCAACATGGGAAAGAACCTTAAGTGCACAGTCTATTCATCCGATCACTCTGGCAGCATCATTTTCTGCCTTCAGCAACTCTGCTGTGAAGGATGGAAGTCAGCAAAGCTCTAGACAAGCAGAAAAGCAGTGGAAAACACAGGCAGTGATTTTTTGCCTCTATTATTATTATCTGGTCCCCATTTTGTCTGGTATGTATAGACACTGTCTAAATTTTGGTGCTTGGGCAGATTATTTTTCTACATGCTGCTGACCAGTGCCTAGCACAGAGCCTTGCACAGAGGAGGGTCTCCAGTCTTAGGAGGAGTAGATGTCACTCTCTATGAAAGACGGTAAATCAGTCTGCTCTCCTCATTTAGATGCATGGCTGTCTGCTCCTCCCTGGCTAAAAACTGAAACCTGAAAATATGACCCTGGAAGGGGAGATTGAGGAGGAAAGCACCATCCCCCTATAGACCCTGTTTGTTTGTATGTTTGTTTTTGAGGAAGACTGGCCCTGAGCTAACATCTGTGGCCAAATTCCTCTACTTTATATGTGGGACACCTGCCACAGCATGGCTTGATAAGAGGCACATAGGTCCATGCTTGAGATCCGAACCAGTGAACACTGGGCTGTGGAGGCGGAACATGCAAACTTAACCACTGCACCACTGGGCTGGCCCCTAGACCTTGTTTTTAAACAGTGCCATTCTTAGTGGCTCAGAAAGTGGCCTGTTCCAAGGGAATAGTTCTCTAGACCAGAAAATAGATTTTGAACTGAGAGAATCTGGGGTAAGGAGAGGGTTTCCTCCCAATTTCTAAAAAAGGAAGACTATAATGGAATTGTGTACTGTTAGATATAAAATAGACCTTGGTGACAGGCTACTGGAACATGTCGTTTCAAGAGAGTGTGAAGAACAGTTAAGTGACTTGTCCAAGGTCACAGAGCTAAGAGAGATAAGGTTGAGGCCAGTGTCCCATAAGTCTTTTCTAGGCCCCCTTACCTAGCCCCTCTGGATGGCTCAGATATATCACAGGTGGAACTTAACTGTCTCCCAGGCTTTGTTGTAAATGGCAACATTTGTCACTGGCAGTGTTTCTTCTTTCACTTACAATATGTCTGGACCAAAAATTTCCCCTCCTGTTGGAATTAAGAAAGGCAAAAGAAAAAGAAAAACACAAAGAACATTATATCCCATGAATAGCTAATAAACGCATTACTATCCCATTAAAAATGGAAGTTTTCATCCTCAGTCTTTTCAGATGGAAATGTTTTCCTCTATGTTGCTCCAATCAATTTAATGGCTTGGAGCTTGTTCCTTTCCCACCCACAGAGCTTTGTGCATGCCTTTGCCCCACCACATGCGGCTCCTCAGCGTGGCGCGTAGGGCTTTCTCTGGATCCAAGAGCCCCCATGACTCAATTTGGTGTAGCCGAGAGGAGCCAGGCAGCTGGAGCTCTCCTCCTCTCCTGACTATGCCCAGGATGTTAACCGCCACCTCCTTCCGGCGGTCGTTCTCACTCCCTCCCCACCCCATGACTGGTTGTGAGCTCCGTGTCTCTTAAATATCTGTCAAAGTGCTTTCTTCATTTTTCTGTTGAGACTCATGTTCAATGTTGTTTGATAATTAAACTGCCATTGTTTTCTCTTTTTGATCCCTCCCCCTAGTTGTTAGTATGATACCTTGAACCTAATGAACCGAATATTGAGTAAAGTCATAAATGAGTACAGTACAGATGGTAATCAATCAAAGCAGGGTACACGTTTGATGTTTGTAAAATTGAATCAAAAGAACTATGACTTTGGTTCTTTAAAATTTTAGAGCACCTGTAAAACACTAATGTATGAAGTACTATTCCTATTTTAAAGACTAGGCAGTTATTCCAAGTGTGGGCTAAGTCTGGGAGTTAGCTGGGTACAAGAAGAACTGTATAGCCTTCTAAACAGGCAGCTTCTTCCTGTGTTGGGGCTCTCTGTGATGTGTGGTGCCGCGAGGTGAGTATGTAGGGGAAGGTGTAGAGAGTGGCTCCACGTCATTCTGCTCCAGCTAACTCTCCCCTGTTTGACATATCCCATCATTTTCATCAACGTGGCCTGTGCCAGTCCAGGCGTCGAACATGGACTAGGATGAACCTGCCCCTGAGGAGCTTGTAGTTTATCAAAGGAAAGGACATGTTAATAGCAAGTTGAAAGTGACTCATGCTGCAGTCAAGGTCAGAGGTAAAGCCAGTCAATCATTGTCTAAAATACCATTTAGTTCATGTCATTGATGAGTTTTTCTCACAATTTGTCCCTGTAGAAATTTCTTTTGATACTCTTAAGAATTTTAGACCCTGAAGTATTCTTCCACACAATCAGGGTTGCCTGTTGGTGAGGGGCAGCCCATATACAGACTGCTTTTATTTGTCCAGAATAGCTTTTTTAAAAGACCATTTTTGACTTGGCTGCTAGTATCTTGTTTCTTATATCTGCTTGAGTCGTCTGTTTTTAATCTGGGGACAGTGGGCTCTCTGTAGACATTTGCCTCTGTGACCTCTGTTCTAAATTAATAATATTTTCCTACATGATGGCACATTTGAAAAATAGGAAATTCTTAATTATACTCTTGTCTTTTTTGAGGACTTTTCACCATTGCTAATTATTTGTCTATGAATATCTGTTTATAGAAGCAAGGCCTAATTTTGAGGTTCTTTGGTAATAAATGTCCTATCTACTCACTATAAAAATCACTTTTTTTCCCTCCAGGTCTTGGTGGTCATATCAGAATGTTTCTATGTGCCACTTCCAAGGCATTTATCTGAACATTCCGGTAAGTACAATAAACTCATGCCATAGAGTATTTTTGGAATTTAGTGGTGTGCCTTTTTGTGGTCATATAGATAGTGGGTTTCCCCCCGATTTGCTAGGTGATCAAACCATCACTACTACCTAGTTCCTTGAAATGTGTTCTCTAGAAAGATTTGAACAAAAATTATTTTTTTCGTCTCTTAAATTAGGGAATATTTCATTGTGGCAATTGCTATTTCCCTTTAAGTGTATGCCCTTCATTGATCTTTTGACACCTTTTCCTTCATTCAGACTGGAATGAGAAGAGAGGGAGGGGAACTCACATTTATTGGGTCTCTACTGTACAGGCATACCTCAGAGATATTGCAGGTTTGGCTCCAGACCGCGCAATAAAGCAAATATCGTGATAAAGTGAGTCACACGAATTTTCTGGTTTCCCAGTGCATATAAAAGTCATGTTTACACTATACTGTAGTCTGTTAAGTGTGCAAATACAGTTATGTCTAAAAAATAATGTACATAATTAAAAAATATTTTGTTGCTGAAAAATGCTAACCATCATCTGAGCCTTCAGCAAGTCATAATCTTTCTGCTGGTGGCGGGTCTTGCCTCAGTGTTGATGGCTGCTAACTGATCAGGGTGGTGGTTGCTGGAGGCTGGGTTGGCTGTGGCAGTTTCTTAAAATAAGACAACAATGAAGTTTGCCCCATTGACTGACTTCCTTTCGTGAACAGTTTCTCTGTAGCATGTGATGCTGTTTGACAGCATTTTACCTTGAGTAGAACTTCTTTCAAAATTAGAGTCAATCCCTTCAAACCCTGCTGCTGCTTTATCAACTAAGTTGATGTCATATTCTAAATCCTTGTTGTCACTTCAACAATCTTCACAGCATCTTCACCAGGAGTAGCTTCCATCTCAAGAAACCACTTTCTTTGCTCATCCATAGGAAGCAACTTCTCAGCTGTTAGAGCTTATCATGAGATTGTAGCAATTCAGTCACATCTTCAGGCTCCACTTCTAATTCTAGTTCTCTGGTTATTTCCACCACATCTGCAGTTACCTCCTCCACTGAAGTCTTGAACTGCTCAGTCATCCATGAGGGTTGGAATCAACTTCTTCCAAACCCCTTGTAATGTTGATATTTTAACCTCTTACCATGAATCACGAATGTTCTTAATGGCATCTAGAATGATGAATCCTTTCCAGAAGGTTTTCAATTGACTTTAACCAGAATCAGAGGAATCACTATCTATGGCAGCTATAGCCTTACAAAATGTACGCCTTAAATAATAAGACTTGAAAGTCAAAATTACTCCTTGATCCATGGGTGACATGGATGTTGGATGTTAGCAGGCATGAAAACATTTATCTCATTATACATCTCCATCAGAGCTCTTGTGTGACCAGGTACATTGTCTGTAAGCAGTAATTTTTTTTTTTGGTGATGAAGATTAACCCTGAGCTTACATCTTTTGCCAATCTTCCTTTTTTTGCTTAAGGAAGATTGTCCGTGAGCTAACATCTGTGCCCGTCTTCCTCTATTTTATATGTGGAATGCTGCCACAGCTTGGACCAATGAGCGGTGTGTAGGTCTGCGCCCAGGATCTCAACCCACAAACCCCGGGCTGCCCAAGTGGAGCGTGTCAACTTAACCACTATGCCACCTGGGCCAGCCCCAGCAGTAATATTTTGAAAGGAGTCTTCCTGAGTAGTAGGTCTCAACTGCAGGTTTAAAATATTCAATAAACCGTGTTGTAAACAGATGTGCTGTCATCTAGGCTTTGTTGTTCCATTTATAGAGCACTGGCAGCGTAGCTTTAGCACAGTTCTCAAGGGCCCTAGGATTTTTGGAATGGTAAATGAGCACTGGCTTCAAATTAAAGTCACCAGCTGCATTGGCCCCTAACAGGAGAGTTTGCCTGTCCTTTGAAGCTTTGAAGCCAGGCATTGACTTCTCTCTAGCAATGAAAGTCCTAGATGGCAACTTCTTCCAATTTAAGGCTGTTTCATCTACATTGTAAATCTGCTATTTAGTGTGGCCACCTTCATTCATGATCTTAGCTGGCTCTTCTGGAGAACTTGCTGCAGCTTCTCCATCAGCACTTGCTGCGTCCCCTTGCACTTTTGTGTTATGGAGACGGCTTCTCTCCTTAAACCAACCTCTGCTAGCTTCACACTTTTCTTCTGCAGCTTCCTCACCTCTCTCAGCCTTCATAGAATTGAAGAGAGTTAGGGCCTTGCTCTGGATCAGGCTTTGGCTTAAGGGAATGTTGTGGCTGGTTTGATCTTCCTTCCAGACCACTAAAACTTTCTCCACATCAGCAATAAGGCTGTTTCCCTTTCTTATCATTCATATGTTCATTGGAGTAGCATTTCTAATTTCTTTCCTGAACTTTTCCTTTGCATTCACAACTTGACTAACTGTTTGATGCAAGAGGCTTAGCTTTTGGCCCGTTTGGCCTTTTGACATGCCTCCTCACTAAGCTTAATCATCTGTAGCTTTTGATTTAAAGTGAGACATGTAACTCTTCTTTTCATTTGAACACTTAGAGGCCATTGTAGGGTTATTAACTGGCCTGATTGCAATGTTGTTGTGTCTCAGGGAATAAGGAGGCCTGAGGAGAGGGAGAGAGACGGGGGAACAGCAGGAATAGTCAGAACAAACACATTTATCGATTATGTTCACCGTCTTATATGGGCGTGGTTCATGGCTCCCCAAAACAATTACATCAATAGTAACATCAAAGATCAGTGATCACAGATCACAATAACAAATATAATAATGAAAAAGTTTGAAATATTGCAAGAATTACCAAAAAGGGACACAGAGACATGAAGTGAGCAAATGTTGGAAAAATGCTGCCTATAGACTTGCTCAATGCAGGGTTGCCACAAACTTTAATTTGTAAAAAAAATGCAGTATATGAGAAGCACAATAAAGTGAAGCGCAATAAAATAAGGTTTGCCTGTATGCCGGTAACTATCCTAAGTCCTTTAAAAGCCATCTTCCCAGTCCTTGCACTGCTCCACACTGTTTCTGGGACCAAATAGCCCTGGATTTGCATGTTTTTATTCCTGTTTTTGAGACTTCGCATGAAGACTTTTATGAGACTTCGTAATTGTTGAATTTTATGTGGGAGTTTAACTAAATAAGCTTATATTTCTTTTTAGTTCTTGAAGTTTTCAAGGTTTTGAGACTTTATAGGTAATTAGAAAATCTATTATGTTCCTTAGAATTTTTAAAGGTAACAGAAACTCAGTTTAAAGCAACTTAGGGAAAAAAGGAAAATTTATTAGCTCACATAACTGAAAAGTCCAGGGATGTTCTGCCTTCAAGCACAGCCCAAGGGATGTTAAGTTTCTCTTTCCATGTGGCTGATTCAGTAGCTGTCAACAGCCCTAACTCACATTTTATCAGCTTTGCAATCCCTGTAGAAAGAGAGAAAGTTTTTCCTCCTGACTCTGGCCAGAAACTCCTGGGAAGTACTCTGATTGGCTCGACTTAAGGCACATTTCTAAACCAATCACTGTGACCAGTGAGTGGGTCCTGAGCATTCTACAAAGTACAAAATACAAAGCATGAAGGAACCTTTGCCTTCCCTGCCCCTGTACTCTGCCAAAGTCAACACGGTTAGTGAAATCTCCACAGAGGGATGGAGAAGCCCTGGATGGGGCTAGGATGCCAACTAGAGATCTGTGCTGTGTGATAACATAGCTTCAAGATGGAGGAAACTGTCAGGTGCCCCATTGTTTAATTTCACAGCTAAACACACTCAATTGATTGTTCAGTGACCATTGTTTATTCAGAGGACATTCCCCTCTCTTCCCTCCACAGAGCAGAATCAGGAGTCAGAGGAGGCTCATCGGGCTGAACAGTTGCAGGATGCAGAGGAGGAAAAAGATGATTCAAATGAAGAAGAAAACAAGGACAGCCTTGTAGATGATGAAGAGGAGAAAGAAGACCTTGGCGATGAGGACGAAGCAGAGGAGGAGGAGGAGGAAGACAGCCTGGCTCCTGGTGTGGATGAGGAGAGGAATGACACCCAGGACCAGGGGCCTTTGCGAGAGGCCCAGGAGGACCTCGACGCCCATGAGACTGAAGAAGACGTCCCTGAGCCACCCTCTTCAGCTGACACAGAGGTGGCGGAAGACACGTTGAGGCAGCGCAAAAGTCAGCATGCCGATAAGGGACCATAGGTTTAATGACAGTATTTCCAAGAACACAGACCACAGGAATGTGTCAGCTTTCCTCTGGTCTGCAGTTTAAACCAAATCCTTATTTCTTCCTGAATGAACAAGCTTCTCTTTAAAAAAAGCAATCTATAGTCATGTAGTCTCATGGCATTAAGCCTCATATATATTAATGAGAATCTTTAGAGCATGACAATCAGGATACAAAACAACAAACATGGTGTTAGGATCTGTTTGGGGACTTGGGATGGGCACCAGTTTATATCCTTGGGGCTGGGGAGTTTTGACCAGAGGATGCCCCCCTCAGCCCTGATGAGCACTGTTCGTAGATGAGGCTTCAGGCTCCGTAAAATGGGAGCGGAGCAGCCTGAGCATCCTCAGAGTGTCACAGGAGTCTGACTTCCTCTTGCTGTGTTAAGTATTTGTTTTTGTCAAGCTCTAAGAAACTCCAGGCACCACTGTGCAGGGATGCTTTTTAGAGATAGAAATTGAGAGGGCCCTGGATATGATTGTAGAAAAGAGTTTGAAATTCATCCCCACTCTCTGAAGCTCCTTTTTTATGTTTTATTTCTTCTCTTTCACATTTCCAGCTTTCTCCGCAGGCGCCCCCACTCGTCACAATCCTGCCTCTGAGAGGGCTCGGGCAGCCTCGGGGGTGACGTGAGCTGCCTTCATTCTGACTTAAGGGTTTGGATAATCAGGGACCGCAGCTCACGAAGCTGTGATTGCCAAGCGTCTCGAATGAAGTGTCGTAACTTTTGGAGATTCAAAAGGAAGTAGGGATTTTACAGGAGAGATTTTTGTCGTTTTTTTGCCAAAATTTAGTAATTTTTTTTCAAAAAGTTCCTTTAGCAATCTTCTTTTTGAAGCCAGCAGTCTCCGACTCTTGCCAGGACAAGGTAGTCTTGTGAAGAAAGCTTGAATACTGTGTTGTTTTGTTTCCATCTCAAGGGGTTCCCTGGCTCTCGAACCATATTAATAATAACTGGAAAACCATTTCTGGTTTTCCTTCAGTGATGTGCTTTTGCTGAAAGAATTAATGAAAGTGAATATCTAGAAATGAAAGATTTGGTTTCGTTTCCTTCTTCCTTAATCTCGTAAAGAGTTTTATCCCTGTAAATCTCTCAATACTCAATCTACTAAAAGTACCCTGGGGGCCCAGTTTCTTTGAAAAAATCCATCCATCTACTTCTGCCTTACCTAATTTATGTCTTAGAATAAATTTGTAAAATTAGATTCCAAGCTTATGAAAGATGTCTAAAGTTGATCCTATGTCCCTTGGGTCCAGACAGAATAATAAGTAATACAGGTTTATGAAATTCAGAAAGTTTCTGTAGTTTTTAAAAAGAAATATGCAATACACTCCTGTCAGGCTCTTTAAGTAAGCCTTACCTTGTGTTAGCTTTGCAGGGCTCACGGAGGGCGAGGTCCTGAAACTGCTCCCTGGTGCGGTGGAGTGAGCCTGTTGGGAGCTGCACACAAAGGGAGTTTTCATTCTGACCGAATCCAATTTCTAGATGGTTACTTTTCATCTTTCCAACTCAGTTACCTGACAGTCTTATCCCAGTTGAGGTACCGTGAGGTTCATTACGAGTCGCCGATAGTTTTTCTCTTCTGATACCGACGTGACCTCTTGTTTGAAGTATTCACCGAGCTGACCAGGAAAACCTTGACTTTTGCTCATTTCTCGCCCCTCCCGCCATGTGGGTCTCAGACATCCTCTCCCAAAGTGCCATGGTTCTGGTGGTGGCAGCTCCGTGTCCCTGATACCAGGAAGCCTTCCTGGATCAGAGCTGAGCCCGGCCTACCCTCTTGTCCCTGGATTTCTTTCTCTCATAATCAGCTGGAACAGTTTTCAAGGATCATTAAGTTCAACTTCAGAGCTATGGAATAAGAAAGGTTTCATAGTAGCTTTTCTGTATAGTGCCCCCTGTGCCATATTGAAATATTTGGCTTTTTAAAAGTGGAGTATTTGACTAGAGAGGCAGGAATGAAGAAGTAAAATCTGCTTTGGCTTTTTATAAATGTAAGGCCAATTTCCAATTGGACCCCAAATAGTACCTAATTCTAAGAAAAATGTATTTTCTTTCTCAGCAATACGTTAAAAAATTGGCAGAAGAGGAGCAAACAGTTTGGAGAAGACGGTCCATTAAAAATTGAAGTGTCTGGCTATAGGAACCATTTTTCTTGTTTTTCCTTTTTTTTTTTTTAACATCCTGGCAAAACGTAGGGTTTTTACTAAATAGCTTGGTAAGTACACATATAATTTAATTTGTTTCCACTTGAGGCCTTTAGGTTTGTTTTTAATACTTAATGAATATAAAACTAAAGGAAAAAAGCCAACCTAAAGTAATTTAAAATTAGATTAACATTTCAGTTGGATTTTATGGATTTTTCTCCTGTAGATAATATATTTAATCCAAAAGTCAAGTGCATGGAAACATGATTTTGATTTAAAAATAAAAACAATCATGCTTCCCCCTGTTGCAATATTAGTTATTGAATTACAGAATAGAACTTTATATAAATAAAAATTAGCTAAATTAAATAAAAGTAACTGGATCTTGGAATGGTGATACGGAGCGTTCTGTGTGAGTAGTTGGAGCAGGATGGGTGCCTTTTCACTGATTAGGAGGAACGTTTGATCTTTAGCTACCTTTTTCCTAGTTTCTTTTGTTATTCATCTCTTGCAAGATCTGCTAAACTACCCCAACTTGCTGAGAGAGATCATAGGGCAGCAACATAGAGATGGTGCCACTTCTTTCTTTCCCTTTGAAGTGTCAGCAGTGATTGGGGTGAGAGGTGGGGCACGTGGAGTTCACGGGGCCTTGCACTGCGGGGCGGGCGCGTACTTAAACCTGATCTCCTGCATGTGATCCCTGTTAGCCACAGGCCTCCATAGTTACAGAAAGGAATCTCAAATCACGCTGAGTCAAAAGTAAACAAGCTTTGTCCGGGTTGACTTCTGACAGTGGAGAAAGCCAAATTTTTACTTGTCTACGGCCAAAACCCCTGTTTATCGCCAAGGTGTTGCTCCATGATCTGGGTGTGTATAAGCCTGCAGAGCCAGCATCCTGGAACACCTTTGGAATAGATGATAAAAATATCTTTTAAATAAGTTCTTAGCACATGACTTCTTATTACCAAGTCCCTTAAGAGCGGAGCCTATATGCTGCTTTACAGGATGAGAAACCTTAAGGACTCCAAAAAAAGGTTGAAACAACAGGGCACCCCTGATGTTGCAGCATAAGACCTGGAATTGGTGTGAAGGGAGAGGTTGGTGCTTTTGCTAATATGCATCAATAGTTTACCTATGTCCTTCATTTCGGTGTTGAAGTTGTTTCTGCCAGTGTTATAAATGTGTGGTTGACCCATCCTGTCAAATATAAGAAATTTTGGAAAGTATTCATGTAAATCTTTCGTGCCAACAGAAATGTTCCTTCTTGTTTAGTATCTCTTTATCTCAGTCCTACATTTTGCTCCTCTTGAGAAGATGATAGCTCGTCTTGAAAAGCCAAATGTGGAGTCATTAAGTCTGATGAAGCCTGATGCGGTGGCTTTTTGGGCATCTTTCCTGACCCAGGAGGGTTGACTGGAAGGGCTTTGAGAGTTTCAGACCAGGACATGGCCTTCAGATGGCTTATTCTCAGTGAAGTTTCATGTGACCTGTGACGCTGTATGTGTGTGACTTACAGAACTTTAACATGTTTCTGATGTAGTGTAATCATAATTTGTTACTAAATAGCCTCTTCATGCAGATGCAATTTTTATACTAAAAATACTGTTTATTTGTATTGCAATTCGTTATAAATTCGTTATCCATATTCTTTGTAATAGTCTTAACTTTTTAGCCCAGTGATATTATTTTTGTTTTCATCCGTGTGTTCTTTACTTCCTCAAATAGCATCTGCAGCACCTGGAATGGGAAATCAAGATAGGAGTCTTGGGGCCGGCCCTGTGGCTGAGTGGTTAAATTCACGTGCTCAGCTTTGGCGGCCCAGGGTTCAGATCCTGGGCACGGACATGGCACCACTCATTAGACCATGTTGAGGCGGCATCCCACATGCCACAACTAGAAGGCCGCACAAGTAAAAATATACAACTATGTACTGGAGGGATTTGAGGAGGGAAAAAAAAAAAAGCAAAAAAAAGAGATTGGCAACAGTTGTTAGCTCAGGTGCCAATCTTTTAAAATTAATTAATTAAAAAAAAAAGATACGAGTCTCAAGCAGTACGTTACCTGAATTACAAATCACCTTACCACAAAATTGTACGTAACCCTTGATCCTCTGTGGTTTTATTTTATTGTAATTTTCTATTTGCATCAAAACCTAATGATAGTGATAACTAAGTGAAAACAAAACAGTGTATTCCTTTTCATATAAGTATTTTCATAAAAGTCATTTGCCTAGGCAGTAAAAATACTACTTTATTAAAAGAAAATTTTTCTTGTGTCCATCCTCCACCCAGTCTATTCGTTGTCCCTCTTTCTTTCTCTCTCCTTGACTTGGTGAAGCCCACACCATGTGTCTTTCAGCTGCCTTGAAAAGTGCACGAAATGAAGGACAAGTCCGAAGGTCCAAGGCTTCCTCCTTGTCACAGTCATTGTGCTGCCTATAGAAACTCATTGAACTCACTTCTCAGGTCTCTCTCTGTCCCGAGGTCTGGACCAGAAGGCAAGCGATGCTGCTACTCCTTCAGGACACTGTGGACTGATTGTCTCCTGGGGCATGCAGAAGACTCTGGCCTGCACCTAACCCTTCCTATCACTATTGCAGTGGAAAAGCACAAAGGAGGTGGGGAAGATTGGCCCTGAGCTAACATCTGTGCCATTCTTCCTCTGTTTTGTTTGTGGGACACCACCACAGCATGGCTTGATGAGTGGTGTGTAGGTTGGTGCTGGGGATCCAAATCCACAAAGCCTGGGCCGCCGTAGTGGAGCCACTGTGCCACCGGGCTGGCCCTGTGAGGTGACTCTTTTAACTACCCTCAGGGACTGAAGTAATGCATGTTGGATTTTTCACTTTTGAAAGATGGTAGGGGGATGTGTCATAAGAAGAAAATGATTCAACTTCCATACCACCGATTCCTTCCTTCAGAAGAACCGGCTCAGAATGCTTGTTTGTCTGTGTAGAGGAAAATACCCATTATGCAGTGTCACAGCCTATGTGAACTTGGTCATACATCCTTGGTGGGAGCAAAACCTGCAGCTTTTAACCCAACAACAATGAATTGTAGAATGGAATGCCCTGCTTTGCCCCAACCTTGAAGGCTCTTTGGAACATATTCCACAATAGTAGGAATTCTTTCTTAGAGCACGTGAACTTCTTGAGATGGATAACTGCCTTGAGCTAATAAGCTGCGTTAACAGACTCCTGAATCTCAGAGGCTTTAAGAAGAAGAATTTTAGTACTATTTCACTTGGATCAGCTCAGGCATCCCTGACAGTAGTGGCTCTGCTTCGTGCAGGTTTTTCTGGGACCCAGGTCAATGGAGGCCTTACTGTCTAGCATGTGGCTTTTAAGGGGGCTGCGGTGATTTTCTTCCCAACCAGTCAGAAGGGGAAAGAGCATGGAGGAGCATTCCTGGGCGATTTGAAAGCTAGGCTGCCAGGAGGCACACATGTGTCCTTCTGTTCACATTTCCTATGAGGACCTAGTCACAGGATCACGCCTCACCAAAAGGGAGGCTAGGCTATGTAATCTTGCCATCTGCTTAAGAGCAGAGAGATTGGAGAGCTAGCATCTCTGCTGCAATGACTACCCTACCTACCTTTGTAACCCAAGTGCCTCACAAAGAGTAACCTCCTGAGAAAAGGTAGTTGTGTGAATGCATGCGTGGTGGGAGAGGAAAGAATACATGTGGGTCGGATTCTGGTTGCCTGCCTCCGGGACTTTACCATTACTGGTCTTCAAGATGCCAGAGTTTTCAAATCATGAGTGGTGTGTGTGTTCTCCTAGAATGTAGTTTATTTGGGAAGATGGATATTAATAAGTGGGTTAAGAATTACAAATGGAAAAGTTAAGAGATGCTATGTGAGTTTATAAAAAAGGAACCCAGTCTAGGTTGAGAGTTTAGATGGTGCTTGTGACCAGGAGGGCAAGATTAGGGGCTGCTGAGGCAGAGATGGATTTGGGACCCCTCTGAGACAAACCAGCAACCCTTAAGCTGCACGTATGGAAAAATAGGACTAGCGTTTATCTCAGTGGGAGGTGGTTTGCTGAGCCATCAGGATGGATTCTGGTCCTCATTTTCCTTTTCCATGAGGGAGTGATAGAGGAACAATTTCTTATTAATCTTTGGCTTGAGCTTTTTCTCCCCTTTCAATATCTTTGATAATTAATCAGTAATTTATAAGCTCTGTAAATCTCTCTAAAGGAGATTTTAGTTAACAGACATCTGATTAATCATATTAACCTAAAAATTACACTGGAAAGATTTATGCCATCAGAATTCTTTGTGTTCTCTTGTCATGGTGGGGCATATAATTCCTAAAATTATTTACTATAATTAGTTACTTTAGTAGAGACCATAGGATAGACCCAGAGCACATGTGTGTCCCAAAGGACAACTCTAGGTTCACAGAATTACAGAGCTGTCATTCTATGGGAATGTCCTTCAAACTCTAGCTCTCTATGCAATAAATTCTAAGCATGAGTCTCAATCTAATAAATAGCATTAGAAACCAGCAGGTTATGGGTTGACCATTGACTTTTAACTATTCTGACTAATAACAATATTGTACAGAGCATTCTAAGACTTTGCAGATCCTTGACTACCCCATAGATGTGACCAGCCCTGAGCAAGGCCATGGGATTACACTGTGGTATCAAGTCGGTTGACTCTCCTTCAGAGCCTTTATTCTACTGACTCTGGAAAAGTAAAAATCACCTCCTTACAGAGAAAATTGTCCTATTAAATGGCATAAAATAGGGTGATTTCTTTTTCTTCTGTGCTCTTTAACACATATCAATAGTATTGGCATTTGTTTTAAAACTGCAGGTCTGCTCTCATGCTATCGCAGAAAGACAGGCCACCTGTCCTGTGAGTACAATGTAATCCTAGTGACAGGTTCAAGTAGTGGCATCAAGAAAGAGTCAAGCCCATGGCTATTCTTGACCGGGGAGAACTGCCTCATTCGTAATATGCAAACAGATGGTGATTTAGGGACGAACTTGTCAGGAGAGATCTTAGTGTACATTGTTTCAAAAAGTTAAATTGTTGGCCTTTAATAAGCTAATGATGTGAATCTCCAGGAAATAGTTTAGTCTAGCATTTCCAAAACTTATTTGACAGGCGATATTGTGGATCAGGAAATTTGAAAACCCTCCCACTACGGAAACTAGAAATGTTGGCTAAAATATAACTGACATCTTTTTAAGGGCAGAGCTGACCCAAAAAGAAAAATTCACAGGGGTCAAAAACCATGAGGTAAATAAACATGACCTGGTACTGGGACTGCCCCACTAGGGCTGATGGTGGTGGTGGTGGAGAGGCGCTGCCCTAGGTAACCAGGGAGTGTGTGTATTGGCCACATAGGTATAGGATACACGGTCTTGACTATAGCAAGGTGGGAAGCTGGAACTGAAACTGCATACAATTCCCAGCTGTATCCTCAGCGACAGGAAGAAAATCTCACTAGCACATGCAGACTACAAGGAAGTTTATCTGTCTTTGCCTGGTCTATGTGTTGAGAAAATCATAACCATGGACCTGATCTTTACAAATGGAAGTTTAATTTGCACTAGCTTCATAGTCTCAAAAGGTCCCAAACCAAGAAAGTCTCATAAAAAGGCTAATGGGGGAGGGAGGTATACAGTAGTCCTCCGTTATCTAAAGGGAATAGATTCCAAGACCCCCAGTGGAGGCCTGAAATCATGGATAGTAGTGAACCCTATATATACTATGTTTTTTCCTATACGTACATACCTATGATAAAGTTTAATTTATAAATTAGGCACAGTAAGAGATTAACAATACTAACTTCTCTTTGGCGTATCTGAATTGCCAGCATCACTACTCTTGCACGTTGGGGCCATTGTTAAGTAAAATAAAGGTTACTTGAACACAAGCACTGCAATACTGCAACAGTCACACTGATAACTACGATGGCTGCTAAGTGACTAACGGGTGGGTAGCGTTTACAGCGTGGATACGCTGGACAAAGGGATGATCCATGTCCCAGGAAGGTGCAAGATTTCATCATACTACTCAGAACGGCGCAAAGTTTAAAACTTGTAAATTGTTTATTTCTGGAATTTCCCACTTAATATTTTTGGATCACAGTTGTCTGTGGTTAACTAAAACCTTGGAAAAAGTCCCACTTAAGATGAACTCACAATCCAAAATAAGAAATTACAGAAGGAAGCTATTCATCAGACAGCAGAATTAGATGTGCCCTAATCCTTGAGATAGTAGTATCAGATAAAAACTTTAAACTTTTAAAATTTATTAAAAACATAAAGGAACAAAAACCAAAAGAATAAGGCACTTTTTTTCCTCAGAAAATGTATTTTAATTTCATCCATTCTGTATGGGTGGTTCAATCCTTTTTATTGGCGCATAGTATTTTATTGTTTGGCTATACAGCACACTGTTTATCCATTCTTCTGTTAACAGACATGTAGTGTTTCCAGTTCTTGGCTGGCCCTTTGAATCTTCTGATTATGAGACATTCCCGGGACTACTTTACTAGTAATCTTTGGTAGAAATACTGCAATGAATTTTAGAAATATATTCCTCAGGATTTCCCAAGATTTGTTCTTATATCATCAGAAAACAGTGTATATCATCCTTGCAGGGAGCAGCTGCTTGAGAAAACAGA